ATATCTAAATCTGCCCTCTTTTAGTTTAGAGCCGTTCCCCCTTGTCCTATCACCACACACCCTTGTGAAAAGCACCTCTCCATCCTTCCTGTCGGCCCCTTCAGGCACTGGCAGCTGCTCTAAGGTCACCCCGGAGCCTTCTCTTCTCCAGGCTGAACAGCCCCAACTCCCTCAGCCTGTCCTTGTAGGAGAGGTGCTCCAGCCCTCGGATCATCTTCGTGGCCTCCTCTGGACCCACTCCAACCCATCCATGTGCTGCTTCTGGAATGTCTATTGAAGCTTCTTTGTGGGAGAGCTGAAAGGAGTGACCTGTGGTACTTGGAGAACTGAGGAAGTTCAAGACAAATAGTGCACATATGCAGGTCTTTGAGCCAGCCCTGTAAATTTAGAGGAGGATTTCTTCTGTGAGCTCTCAGTGCCTGGTATTGCTGATGATGTGATGACTGTAAGGCTGCTTCAGCTGGGGTTTGTGTGTTGGGAAACTGTAGGAAAAGTGGTGAAGAAAGTAGAAACTACAAGTAAATAGTGATTCTTAGCAAAGTAACTCATCTGTTGGCAAACTGGAGGCAGCAATGAGCTTTTGCCTGCCTCCCCAGCAAAAACCAGGAGCATAACTGTGGGTTGAGTGAGGTGGTACATTTTTGACACTTTTAAGACTTTGTGGTGACAGAGTGCTTTAGGAAAGCGACTTTCCTCCTGTGAGGATGAGGTTGTTCTCTTTACTCTTCAGCTGAAATGAGGAGGCCTCTTCCAGGAGGAGCTCCACACTGTTATTGCTGTAAGTGCTGCATGTGCTTGCAGAATTGGTTGTTTTCACTTTCCCCCACTTTATCTCCCCTTCAGCTGGGTGAATGTTATATGCATGGCCATGTGGTTGATGCCTCATGCCTGGAAACATTGAAGGTCAGGTTGGACAGGGCTTTGAGCAGTCTGATAGAACTGAAGAGGTCCCTGCTCATTGCAGAGGAGTTGGACTAGATGGCCTTTAAAGGTCTCTTCTAGCCCAAACTAGTCTATGATTCTACAGACAAACTCAACGGAGAGTCTTGGGACAGACAAAATGTTACATGAATGAAAACAAGCACTAATGCTGTCTCTCTGGTTCAATCTTAGGTATAACCTGCTCCCTAGGATCATCGAAGCCAAGTACTTGGATGCTATGGATGCAGAGCATTAAATGGGGTCCTCCACACACGGAGCAGCGAGGACAGCTCTCTTGGAGTTGGAAGGCAGCTTTGCCGAGGCGTAGAACAATCTGTCTAGAGTTCTTTCTTTCACCACTTTCTTTCTGCCCTAATATGGCATTGGTAATGCACACATATCAAAGACCAATTGAGCGTTGAAGTGTCAGACCAAAACAGCCTTGGACTTGGGAGGCCGATGCTCTTTGGAGCTGTGAGGCAAGCAAGCTTTATGGAAATGCTACTTTCCACATCCCAAAACTGGAAACCCCAAAGATCAGCATGTCTGTACAGTTGGAGCAGGCGTTCTCAGAGTTGTTGTGTGCTCCCTTGTTTGAGAGGTGGGGGGAATCTTTTTTTTTTTTAATGCACCATGTCCCTTTCTTCCAAAACACTATAAGGACAGCAACTGACCCTTCTTTTACAGAATGATAGTCCTTTTCTGGCCTTTGAATTAAATTTCCTGGGCATCCAGTATTCCCAAATTGGTATTCTGGGTGGAATGGTCTCATGTTAAATCACTGATGTTAGGAGAGATGTCTAGCCATTTCTTCAGATTAGCAGGGTTGGAAACAGATGTCATTTGTACTGATGCAATCCGCAGCTTTGGATGCATATTTAATTCCTGCAAATGAGCTGGAAATATTCAGAGGTTGGGCTCGCATGGCGATGTTGATGAAATCGCATCTGGGTCTAAGCTATTTGGGAATTATTTTGGATCTTTCTGCCATTGCTTCTTGGTGATCAAACACAGAAGTGTAGTTTTGCACAACTGCAACATTCTTGCTTGCACCCAGTCAGACGCTGAAACTTGTCAAAGGGCGGTTGTGTTAATGATTGCATATACATATGTACAGTAGTGCCTATGTGTACATATATACATATGGATTTGTGTATATATTTTGCATAGATATACAAATAGGCGTGATTCTTTCAAAATATCAAAAGTGTTTTGTGCAGTCAGTGTTACCTGTGATGTCTTGAATCATATACTTGTTCTCTGCTTCAGTGCTGCTTTTTCTCATCTGAGGTATGGTCACTTTTTTCCTTTTGAAGCTGCTCAGTTACTGTTTCGTTTTGGGTTTGTTTTTTTTTTTCATGTGTTTTATTCAACGTGTTCCTTTGCTTTCTTCTTCCACGGCTTGAGACCTCCATCATTCTGTTTTGATGCTCCAACGTGCAAATTTTGCATTTGATTTTAATGTGCAGCATGAAATGAAAGTTTTCCTCATTCACCTAATCAATATTTGTTGGTCATTTAATTGTTTGTTTTGTAGCTAATCTCCAGTTTTCCCCACTCCCAGACATTATATAATATTCCTGGATGAATCTAACTTCTGCTGTCTTTTATATTTCACTTTAATTTTGCTTGTGCTAGGGTCAGTTTTCTTATTTGGAGTACTGTGAAACAAGCTGCCCTTTAGTTCAGTGCTTGCTCTTTGTTGCACACTACAGATCACAGGCAAAGTGTTAAGAAAAATGTGGAAGTCTGAAGATAATGAACTTTCAAAACAGTAGAAATGAGGGAAGAAGGGTAATATAAAACTAAATGCAAATATATTATTAGCACAGAGAAGTGTTTCTTACCAATCGCCCAGTAAATGGTGCAGAGTTTTTATCAGCACATACCCTACTGGCTGGCTGTCCTCTGCGTGATGAGGAAGGCCAGCTCTGGAATGAGGGAGGAAGGCATTGGGTAAAAAGCTCCTATGCTGGAAACTAAGCCAGACTGAAGCCACTGAAGATTTGGTGTATTTGCACTAAATATCAGGTAGTATTTCATCTTAATGTAGCTGCCTAGGGCTTTAAAACATATATGAACAACTAAATCTTTATTTTCTGATGTGAAACCCTTCATCTTTGTATTGATACTTGATGGAGGAGTGCAGTAAGAGCGTTCCCAAGAACGTGGCCGTGGCTGGTATCTACCAGAGCAATGGCAGGGGAAAGCCCTTGGCTTAGCAAGGCAAACAGCATGGCGTGACCTTGAAAGCATGACCTTCACGTTGCACCGGCCAACTCTTGCGGGACTGCTGAGAAGTCTCAGGGTCAGGATGACCACCCCAGTACCTCTAAGCAGGTAATGCCACGCATTTGGCTTTCAGTCGGTCTTGGAAGAAGCAGGAGCAATTCATGCTGTGTCTGAGTGGCATGACAGCAGGTATAAATCCGTGCATGGTTTCTGACCACCTTCCTCAATATTTCCAAGTTTTGGAGTCATTTCTGTGGCGAGACCACTAATACCTGTTATCAAGGTCTACGTGTAGAAACGGGCCAAACAGGATTTTGGGGCAGTGCAGAGGCGGAGGTGGTAAAAGGTATGTCTGATCTTCAGTCAACAGAAACAGAGCAGGTGACAGCAAACAGTTCAGTACCTGTTGTAAAACAGATTGCAAAGGCCTGACGATGCTTAAATAACACGCTTTTCCCACGGACGTCAAGAGATTTAACCAAAGGTAGAATGAAAAGCGTCATCCTGTGGCTGAGTAAATAATTAAATGCACGTGTTCTGGGGTTGTGTTTCTGGTTGTCTCAGCTCTTGGCAGGAAGAAGTCACCCCGTGGGCTGGTTTAAATCATATTGTGGATGCTGTGGCTGGAGGACGGAGAGGACGTGTCCAAAGGAATGTTTCTCTGGTCGTCTTTAAGGAAGAGCAGAGGCTCTGGGTGGAATTTTGTCCAGTATAGAGCATAGTGGGGTGAACTGGCATGCAGGCCTTGCCCAGAGGAGATAATTTTGAGATGTACCCTCCATCCCTCCACTTATAAGGACCGAAAGTGTCCACATTTAAAGCCTCTTCAAAAATACCAGTTTCGGGTAGTGTCAAATGTTGCTAACTGAGATCATTTAAAATCCAAATAGCTTGAGGGGGTTAAAGATCCTTCACAACTCTTGTTTATGTCTTTTGTTGCTGTTGCTTTACCAGTATGACTTCAGTGTTCATATTTTCTTTGTAGCATCAATAGGATTCTGTTTCGCAGGGTTTTCTTTCAGCAGAAGTCAGGGGCCAAAGAATCAACCGATGGGAAATCAGCACAACTCGGGGAAAAGAAGTTGTGTGCTGGCTTAGATGAGTTGAACATTTGCACCCGTATCTTAATATATGGGTAGAAGGGAGATGTGAGACTCGGCTTCTTGTCTCATAAGGGGTTGTAATGATCCTGCAGAGGATTTTTTTTCATGCAAGTACCTTTTCTCTTCTTGTTTGCTTCTGGTTTTGCTGACTTGAGTGCAGGCGTTTCCAGGAAGTAGGCTAACTAGGGAAGGAGAGTTTGTTCAGAGTTGATTGAGCACTTTAATACTTCTGTGAAGGTTAAGACAATTAGAATGTAAAAAGTTTTACTATAAGCTCTTTATATGCGCACAATGCTACGTATAACTTGCCAAAGAACTGGGTTTGAAAGATGTTGATAGCTATTGAGTCCTTGATGTTCACCTGGAACTGCAAGGTAGTAAAAAGCTTCTGAAACAAGTGGATTTTGGAAGTTACCTTTTGTCAGCTGCCAAAACGATCAGAAACTGTGGAATAGAATAAACTTCTACTCTCAAACTTGTAGTTTTCGATCCTTGCGTTGAATGTAGGAGCTAGAAGTTAGCTTGACAATTAAAATTGGATTTATACCTGAATAGTTTTGTTGGTCTGAGACTTATTTTGTTGCCTCCAAAAATACTGTTGACATGCTATGTGTGGAGATAGATGTGTTTCTCCAAGCAAATTAAGGAAAGCTGGTGAAAACATAGACTGCTGAACAGGCAGCGTAGCACTTTCTAGATTGCTTAGGAAGCAAATCTGACAACTTCACTACCAACAATGCCCAAATTCTCTGGCGTCAACATTTGAAGCTGTTAATAAATGTCAAGCTCTACTTGGATATGCATCAGTGCATTGATGGGAATGGAGTAAATGAACTCAGCTGGTTCGCTTCAGAGCCATCTGGTGAAATGCTTCAAGATGAGCCCAACAACTGTGGGATGCGACATGTGCTTCCTGATGACCTGTGTGAACTGGGATGCTCGGAAGACAAATATGGTAGATGGTCGTGTTTGCATATATGGCAGGTCAAACAATTCTCCCCGAAAGGTCCATATCCCCAGCTGCACCAGAAGACTGAAACTGTTTGCATATTGTATTTGGCTGCTTTAGAAACTGCTGCTGAACTGTGTTCTGCGGACACACTTTGAAGAAACATGAAGGTGGCCAAAGCTGGATATAGCTGGAGAACATTTGGGGTGGGAGGGAAGGGTTTGTTTTATTTTTGTGGAGTTCTCAGTAACAAAAAACGAACCTGAGACATGCCATGTCACCCGAAGCACCCTACCACTTTCCAGTCTGTGTCCCACCAAGCATTTATCTACACTATCTGTTGACACGTGTTCGTGTTACTCCTTGATCAAGCTTTTTTTTCCTGTTCGTTGTGTTCTGTGTCTGCCCTTTGTAGTGCTTCTACCTGCCTAGAAGGTTAACAGGCAGAACCAGCTCATCTCTTGTGTCCATTCCCCCAAAACTTCAGTGCAAGCCATTTTCTCTGTCATCCCCTGACCCAGCTCTCCTCTCCCCAGCCCCTCTCTGGAGCTTGGCTCTGGCATCCCCACTGTGGAAATGCTGCCGAAGGGCCGAGTGGGTATTTTCCTCTGGAGAGCTCCTGCCCATGTCTGAGCAGCAGCATGGCAGGGGCTGCTCCCCTGGGGCTCGCTTTGCCGTAGTAGGCAATGATGGACTCAATTGTCCTACAGTTGCACCGTCTTCTGCATCTCTTCAGACGGTCATGGCGCAGTGTTCCAGTTGGGCTGTCCTCCTTTCATCTGTCAAGCTTCTAAAACAACTTAAATAGGCTTAATGGGATGGGTTTGCCACATTTTCTATCTGTGCTGAGGCCTGTGGATGTTAGAAGAGAATAGTCTTCTCTAATTGTTTTCATATCTAATGAAGGCATTTAAGTACCAAACCCTGTCCATTACACTACTGGCTGTAGATCTGGTTGCAGAAGGCAAACCATCAATATTGTGCAAAGAGCAGACAGACAAGGGAGTTGCCAGAGTAGAAGCTTTAGAAATACAAATTAGCACTTCGGCTTTTGTGTGTTTTCCTTTCAAAGTAAGACAATCCTTGGTTGTGTCTGTCTTTTCCTTGTAAAAAAAACTCTCTGCGTGAGCTTGGATCACTTGGCGCTGTTCTGATGTCACATTAAATATTAAGAGCCTGTCCTAGGGGAGATGCTGCCTTGTGCTCCCCATCTGCAGCTCCTCTGCGAAGAGCTGCTCGCTTGGAGAGCTGAAGTCTGCTCTTGGAGCAGAACAGGGGATGCATGTGGTGTCATCCATGTGACAGTTTCCTGCTG